TTTGGATCTCTTGTCTTTAATTCCTGCATAGGCCACAAAGAGGTGTAATATGAAATTGAATCATTTGCCAAAGTGCCTTCTTTCTCTGGGAGGCTGCTCACACTTTCTGGATTGATAGGTTGCTGCTGCTACTGACATGTGCCCATTACAAAAGGATCTCTATCATATCAACCAATAGACATTGCTGCCCTCTGAACTTTCAGTATGCTGAAAGGAATTTGGTTTGCTGGTAACTTTGAATTCTATATATAAGTTGGTAAACCAGCAGCTGCCCAGCAGAGATATTTAAGGAATACTTTACTGTAGTTTGCGGGGGAGAAAAAGTTCTCTTGCTCTACCCTATACATTTGACTCTTAATACTTTGTGTTTCCATGTAGAAGCTAGTTGTCTTGGAATGTATCTGTCACCAAGAATCTTTAGGCTGACTTCCAGTTTTGAAATTGCCCATACAGAAGAAGTAAATGTTATGGCACTCCACATTCTGCTTTCACATGGAGTTAAGCCATGTAATTTGCTCCCTTGACATGGAAGAGGAAGAAGCAAGAAGCTCATCTTCAGAGAATGCATGGAATTACTGTTTTAAAAATACTTATTTTGGTCAATAGATATTTTAAATCAGATACTATGCTTGCATCTATGTAGCATGTAGTGTGGTAGGAGACCAAAGCGTTGGTCAAACATTATGTATGGATCTATGTATGTGTTATTTGTTTGTTCAAATTTAATTAATGTCCTGTCTTTCTGTTCAGTTGAATACTAAAGGTGGTCATTGGTTTTTTTGTTTTGTTTTGTTTTGTTATGGTGCAAATGGGATGTATGAAGCTTAACACTAAGAGTAGCAAACAATTTTTAAAAAAATACTGAAGACCACATTTCCTTGTATGTGGGGCATATGTCAAGGGTGTGTGAGTAAATAGAGCCAGGGTCAGAAATAATTTGTTGCCTTTTCTGACATCTACCTTTTTCTCTTTTTTATATCCTCATTTTTCTCATTCTGGCACCTCCTTCTCTATCCTCCTCTTCCCTGTCTCCCAGCACTCAATAGGCAAGGTCAGATTATACTTGTGAAAAATCTAAATTATTTGCAGAGGAAATCTGAAATTAGAGGGTTGCATAAAATTAGGCCAAAATCTGTGTCAGATCTTCTGATCAGTGGAAGCCTGAGGTACACAGTTATAGGTATGACTGTACCTGTATAATACAGGTACAGTAGTTATGTACCTTGCTTCTTACGCTGTTGGAAGTACCTCCACATAAAAGGCTTTTCATTTTGGCTCACTCCAGTGATCTCCTATTGGTAGTACTAGTGGAAGATACAGATAACTCTTTTAGAACATTTGTATTCTTGCAATGATGGAAAACTTGAAACTGCTGAACTCATCATTTTTGATTGCTCAATGGGCTCTTGTAGCCTTCTAATTCTCCCTTTACTCCCTTTACTTAGACCAGGGGTTTTCAAACTTTTTCAGACTACAAAACCTGTTATTTAAACAATTCTCAGAACCCCTGACCGAGAAGCAAAGCTCTAGTGATATAAAATTGGCTGCATTTAAATGAACTTTTTAATTTTTTTCCCCTTGATGTTTACAGAACCCCATCAAGTTCTTGTACAGTTTGAAAAGCCATGGTTTAGACTACTAAGCTATACAGATCAATTCTGTGCTTCTTTTCCACTTTTTGAAAGCAACTCATCCGTAATTTACAGTTTTGTCAAATTCTGCTCGGCAGCATGTAAAACTCAGCAGGAATTGACTAGTAGCACTAATCTGCTCTGAAACAATCTATCGTATTTTAGCTCTAGTTTTTGATATTTAGTTTAATTGTTTTTAGGTTTCAGTTGGCTTTTTAGTTCTGTGAAGAACATAGAATACCATTGTAGTTTTTCTATCATTTTTACTATAGCTCATAGCTATTAGCTTGATTTTAATTAACTATTAGTTTTAAAGGCTTAGATTTTATCTTTCTTTTAAAAGCGTATTGCAATTTTATAGGCCTGTACTTTATATTTGGTCAAAGACCAAAATAATAATATTGATTGACTGTTTGAAAGCTACAGACTAGGTCTGCTCTGACTGTGTATTGTACATTTTTATCTGATTCTCGTAAAAGTAATAAACAGGGTGCGCCATCCAGTGGAATGCCACATTAAAGGCTAGGGTTCAAATCAAATCTACAATTTAACTGGAGTAAGTATTCCTACCATTCTTGAAGCCCTTCCATCTGTGGCATTTGTGGTAAATTGCACTGATGCCTGTTGTGTTCTTCAAATGTCTTCCTCCTTGGGTAGCCACATGATTTTGTTTGAGCCAACTACAAATCAAATGGCCAATTCTTGCCTTTCCTTACTGGATCTCAGATTCGTTTGATAAGTTCAGGAGCAATCTTAGCAGCAAACTCAAAATGAATTCTTCTAGCCAATTTTTACCATATTTCAGAATACCTCAAGAAAAAGACGGCCTGATTTGATTTTCCTTGCTTATACAAGCAGTTTGCACCAAACTCTTGTCTTGAAAAGCTGTTCAATCCCTTCTTTGTGAAAATGGCTAATTAAGTTATGGGGTTATGCTTTGATGTCCAAAATAACTTCATATTAGAAAAGTAAATAGTTTAGTTCAGTTCTAACGAGAAAGCATTCTTGGATTATAATTTACTTTATGGATTTGTACTACATCCTAAATTTGGGTTTTTAAATGTTTAGAGTTATATTTCAGTTTGATTAGAAAATAGATTCTAGTGTTGACCTAATTTATTATAGTTTATAATAATAGTGATTTATACTGTGTTAATCAGCACTGCCTGACTTGACTTTCCTTGCCTCACACCTTTTAGTTATTCTCTTCCTCTCTTCTCACACATATGGAGACACTATATTGCAGCCTATACTCATGGTTGTAACCATTGTCAAAAGTGCCAGGCTGCAAAACTATGATGCAATGCTATTATCACATAGTTCAGTGACAATTTATATTCAGGAAAAATGAAAACTTGATAGCCAGATTTTCTTTCCTAGCAATTTAGGATCTTTTTTTTTTTTTTTGCAAAATAACCAAATATACATAACATGTACTGAGAATATGAGAGATGGGGTATTAGTAATGTATTACAGGTAGTCCTCAACTTACGACCATTTGTTTAGTGACCGTTTGAAGTTATGTTGGTGCTGAAAAATGTGACTTATGACTGGTCCTTGTACTTATGAGTGTCACAGTGTCCCTGTGGTCACATGTTAAAAATTCAGGAGCTTGGCAACCAGTGTGCATTTACGATTGTAGCATCCCAGGGTCACGTGATCACCATTTGTGATCTTTCCAGCTGGCTTCTAACAAAATCAATGGTGAACTGCATGATTCACTTAATGACTGCAGTGATTTGCTTAACCATGTGATTCACTTAACAACTGCCCCCAAAAAGTCAAAATCGGGTGCAGTCACTTGATGCCTTGCTTAACAACCACACTGCTTAATGATGAATTTTCCAGTCCCTGTTGGGGTCATATGTCAAGAACTACCTGTATTTCCTTTTTCTGTGAAAAGTTGGGAGCAAGGGAGTTTTGCTACTCCAGGAACTGTCATAGCTCATGAGGCAAGTCACTGACTAAATAATGTTTTTACTTTCCTACTGGTCAGCTGGTGGGAGTTCTGATTGGTTGATGGTGCTCCCTGCTGCTCTCAATATTCCAAGATTAACAGGAGCAAAATTAATCAGGCAGTGATCTTCAAAACATTTTGGAGGAATTGAGGAGTAGAAGCCAATGTCATGAGGAAATTCCATTTTGGCCTCTCTGTTTGCCTTTCTGATAATCTTGATGCTATTGGCTGAGCTGTTAGGTTTGCCACAGGAGGCCTGCAAAAGCCTTCCAAATGAATCAGCCAGTGTTCGTATGAATGGGATCACTCCCAGTGGCCTATACCTTAAATCCAGCAAGCCCTCTGACTACACACAATAGGTAGCTGGGTATTTCAATTCAATGAGTTACCCTGATTAGCCAAATTTGCCAAATCCTAGAGGAGCCCTATATACAGAGTACTAGGATTCTTTTCTTACTAAATCTGTGTATGCACCCATCCATGAATATGGCCAGCATTGTAAAGGCAACAGCAATCATGTCTTCAATGAACTTGTAATTTACATGAATGCTCCTCAATGTGCAATGCCTTAGATGAGTTTTTAAAGGCTAATGTATTGTGAGGAATCTGTGACTTTCTGCATAATTATTACTGTACTGCCCTCCTAGTATACCTCATCACTGGCCATGCAGGCAAGATCTGCTGAAAATTGTAGTTTAGCAACGTCTTGACAGCCAAGGCACTGGATCTTTGATCTAATGGGTAGTCTCTGTTTATGAACTTTTATTTTCATTCATTCATTCAGGTACTCCTTTTTCACTGCAGAGGCAGTATCAAAATAACTTGATATAACACTGCAAAGTAATTAAGACAGCTGCTGGGTTAGAGAAAATGGGATCCCTTTGAATCAGAATTCTGAGCACCACACAATGATATTACATAGCACAGGACTATATTTGCACATTTCACTTTGCATGTGTGGGTTGGTAGAGAAGCCTTGGAGATGTTTCATTAGAAATGTCAGTACCATATACAGTAAATTTTGGATGTTATTTCGATTATACACATCTATAGTTTATTAAATAAAAATCCCACATTGCACTCATGCACGTGGCTTTCAGATTTGAAATATCAGGCTGCTAAAGATTGCCCATCACTTTAAGAAAAACTGTCAGCCCAGTTGTCTCCTTTTAAGATGGCAGTGACCTTCCCCAGCTGTCTCAGGAGGAATGGTTCAGGAGAAAATATTCAGCCGGATGACTTTTGGTGTTTAACACATTTGTTTTGATTGGGCAATCACAACTCTAGGCTGTTTGGTTTAGTTGCAACAAGTGCTTTGAATAACTGCACCAGATGTCTTTAAAACAGATTTCGTTTCTGTGTAGGTGTGTGTGCGCATGTATTGTTCATGTTATTTTTCTTTTCATTTTTAGCAAATGAGAAGATTGAAGACATCAATGGCTGTCCAAAGAATAGATCTCAAATGGTAAGATTTTTCTTTGTTTTATAATTTAATTTCCCTTTTTTGCTGGTAAGTGACAAATGGATTGATGAATACTGTAGAATGCCATCAGTAGATGTAAAATTAGATATGGTTGTGCTGAGTTTTCCTGAATTATAAATATACTCATGAAGAAATTATGAGTATATAATTAGTTTAAGCTCAGTGGAATTTAGTTCTGAATCATGCTATTTAACAGTTAATAAATCAATATTTCTTTCTGAAACAGCCTTCAAAGATACCCAAAAACCAACAACAAAAATAGCAACTGCCAGTTTATAGTAAAGGACAAAATAGCCTCAACTCCTGCCATATTATGTGTTTATTATAACATCTCTAAATTTTACATCTGTTAATTCATATAGTTACCCATATATAGAAATATGCATATAGATATAGATATGTTCATAATATTCACTTGTTGCAATGTTAAATGCAGTACTAGTTCAGCTTTTTATGTATGTGATTTAATACGAAAGAGATGTAAATATAAGGCTCTGACATTTAGAAAAATATGGTAAATGGATAAGTAGAGCCAAACATTTCCCAAATATCAATAGCAAATTATCGTCTTTATTAAACTCTGCACACTTTGAGAACTTTTGTAAATTTGCTTTGGAGTAAATCTCATTTGGCTTAGAATAACATATGCCTGAGCATATAAGCATAGAATTGTAATTTAAAGCATTCATAAATTGATTGCAATTTAAAGCAAGCAATGTCAGGACTGCTTATGTTGCAATCTGAACATGTCCAAGTGGCCACAGAAGGCATTTTATTTAAAAATAGCATGGAAATATTGCACACAAAGTCTGCAAAAGCTGCAAGTACCATTTCTAAAAAGCTAACAGAAAGGCCAAGTGCATAACCCTTGAAATGTGTATTACATGCAAACCATCCAGATTTATTTTATCCTAGTGCAAGTGCATGCTGGTGTGATCAAGATCAGGGCTGTGATGCACAGATTTGTGTTTTATCAAACAACATATGTTTTTTATACAGACGTGCTGAGAATGTCACAAGGAACATCTTCTGGTAAATCACCCACAGAGGTGTTCTAGCTAAAGCAAACAGTGCTTATTTTCAGTGGCTTCAGCTAATGGTTTCACTGTCTTAGCAATTTCTACCTTGACTGTAGTGCACTGAAAAATGGCAATATTATTAAGACAATGTAATTTAAAGCGTGTGTGCCACCTCACATGCACACACAAAGAAAGAAGGTAGCACAATGCAATTGCTATCAAAATCAAACAGTTTGAATAAACGGTACTGCATTAGAAGGAGGAGCTCAGCAATTGGCCACAAGAAGCTGAAGGAAGTAGTGGGACATCCAAGTAACAATATCAGACAGACAGGAAGAAATGTAGCCTTGGCAAAGAAACCACAAGTTTATCTTATCATTAGAACAGGAAATAACTGTGGTAGCTGCATGGTGTTTGCGGTGAACTGGCAAATCTAAAGTGTGCTGCGCTGGGCTTAGATGTCCTGAAAGGTGCCTTTGGCTTCTCTATGGCTTCTCATTTCCATCTAGATTTATTTGCTTTAATCTCATCTTGGATGTTTTGAAATGTAACACGGAAATGATTTCAAGAGCTAGCATGAATAAATGCAGCCAGCTGGATTAACCTTTGAAATATACTTTCTCAGGAGAATTTCAGATTGGAGAATAAAAGCCATCTTAACACCAAGGTTTTAGCTGACTTTGTAAGTTGTTGGGCAACCTAAGAAGCTACACACATACAAATCTCTCAGCCATTTTTGCACTGCAGGTTCCATGCAGAAATAGTTTTAAAAATGCATGATGTTATATTTAAAAATGTAGCTTTAGAATAGTTTTTTTTAAATCTGTGGTTAGCAATTGTCTTAGATAATATAATTTCCTTCTATTCTTCATATATACAATTATTTTATTAATATATTTTAAATTGTTAAATATTAATATATTAAAAGATAATATAATGCACTATTAATGTATGTAATCAAATCAAATCTTTATTACCGTCATAGACCAGCATATGTAATATATAGGTGCCCACCAGGCAGTTCATAATGAAATTCAGTGTAAAAAACAACATTAAACAGAAAAGTTTGTAGCTTAAGAGTCTTGGAATAAGGGCATGAAGAAAACGTTCAAATAAGACTGTTTTAATAATATTTTTGAATACTGGGAGGGAAGGTGCTAAGCGAGCCCTCAGAAGGGAAGAGTTCCAAAGCCTCGGTGCCACCACAGAGAAGATGCTGTGTGATCAGTTCTGTATCTTGCCTATGGCAAGACCAGAGAATAATCTTCTGATAAATTCTGAATAGGCAGACCAAGTTACATGACTACCCTTTGGACAAGGAAACTACGTATTTTGGTAAAAGATCATCATTTAGAAATTGAACAAATCCGGAACTACTGCAGATTTAAATAGTAATGGTATTGCATCTATGATACAAAGTTTCCATCAACACTATCAGCAATGAACTGGACCAGTTGAAGTGGGACTTGCATTTGAAGTTTTATTTGCATTTATACTTTTAGTTCAATGGGATTCCTTTCTGGATAAATTCACAAATCATAATGTTGTAGATGTTTAATTCATTGAGGACATCTGTAGCTACTATCAGAGATCTTTAAATAGTCTTTTGAAAATACAACTAAATAATCTTTGAAAAGAGAAACAATCCTTGAAGTATTGGCTGAGTTCATACTGAGTTCATTATGAAGCCAAATGTAGATTGTTTGATTTTAGTTTAGTGTGCTATGAGAACCCAGATGTAGTAGTTTATAGTTAGCATTATATGTAAAGTAGGTCTACCAGATCTGGACCGCAAAAAATTGGACAACCACTGGATGGACACAAAGTTACAGATTTCTGTATCTCTGTACTGCCTTCTCGTGGTTTTCAGATTATTGCAGCCTAGATTTGGTGGTTCAAAAAACCATGGTTCAACAAATGCTGGTGTAGTGCAGTAGATAAATTTACTTTACAGGTGCTGAATCAAAATACTATCTATTTCATATGCTATTCAGAAGACATACTCTCTGCAGAGTGTCTGACTTTTAAGGTTGCTTGTATGAAGCTGCCTTTTGTGGGCTAATCTCAATTTGGCTGGAAAGCCATCCTTTTAAAATATTATTAAAAAATTACCTGAATGGGATCTGCACTTGAATGGGATCTTGCTGCAGTGGGATGGCAGCAAGTTATTAGTAATTTTTTATATTAAGGACTATTCAACAGCAGAATTTTTAGACTATCCTATTTTCATTTTGTTTGTTTGTTTCTGGGCATCATGCAAAACTCTTGTTTTAAATAAATCCCATCTAAGCTATATAATTATCAGATAAAATGCTCAGCATAGATCAGAATGTTGGGTTGAAGTGCCCAGAATCTTATGAAATTCCCTCATAGTATGAATGATGTTTGCTATCTTGAAGGGGAATAATTATCTGTAGAATTTTCTGGCTATACATAATCATTTTTCTACAGATGCTTAAGAATTCAGATAAAGAGATGTAGGTAAATATGGGTTGAACTGATTCTTAAGTGTAAAGTGTAATGGGTATAAAATTGGATGGAAAAAAGTGAAATCTTTTCTTTGAAAAGACTTAGAACTTTCACCTTTCTTCTGCATGGTTTGTAATTTACAAATGTGTGGCTTCCAACACCCAAATCATTCTTGCTCTACGTTGGAGGTCTCTTTGACTGCAGTAGACTTCAGCAATAATGCAGAAAGGACCTCTGATGTCCATCTGTGAGGTAGAATTCTTCAGCGTGTGTGGGTTGCACTGTTGTGACTCTCAACTTGTTTTTAATAATGCAGCAGATCAGCTACCATTTCTGTGACTTACAGTCTCATCCTACACAAAGTAATTAACCCTGTGGAAGCACCGAGAGGATTAACAGTTGTAGTATATACAGGAATTCAAGCATAACCTCAAACTTGTACATTTTCTGACAAAGGTGAAGGTTGCACTTCTTTGTAATTTCAAGAGAACTACAAGGAATAGTGGTTTATGATTACACAGTTAGAACAGTCTTTAAAAATTCAGAGTGGGTGCTTTACTTTATGGATTATAATAATGGGAACTGTATGACCATTGGTGTCCATTAGCAATCTACAATGAGATGGCTGGTGAATATTCACCCTGCATTGGAAACTTGATTTAATAGCAGAGCTGTTTATACAAAACCATTTGGTTCTCTGACCAAGGGTGCTGTGATTATTTAAATATCCCTCTATTTTTAGAATACTCAGTATTGACACTGTTCACACTTGCATATTCAAAGTGAGTCACTCTTGAGAAAGTATTCTCATGAAGGCAGAAATAATACATTTTTCTTCCCAAACTTTTTTTGGAAGGTTGGATAAAATTTTGTTTGGCTTTTCCTTCTTACTAAATAGTCAAATAAAGTTCAGACAAAAGTTTTTGGAATTTTATATACATCCAAGACTGTGTTCCTACGCAGATGTAAGTAATATTAAAACATACATGCCCCCTCTGCATATAACAGAAATCTTCTGAGCTCCATTTTAAATTTAAAATGTTTCTTACATTTTATACAGCAGTTTAGATGCCATCTGTTTTAATTAATATTTGTTGCAGCAGACATTTAAGGTAGGCGTCTACCTTAGTGCTGTCCAGAGGTGTTGCATTTTGGATTACAATTCACAGAATTCTCAGCCAATGACCATGCTGGCTAGTTACTCTGGGACTAGTCCAGATTAGCTAATGGAAAGGATGAAAGGAAGATGTGTCTCCAAAGACTCTGGGGCATGAGTTGAAGAACTAAGCTCCCTGAAACATGTCTACTGCATGATGTGAAGACACATTTGCTTCCATAGCTCAGTGCCAGAACACAGGTTTTCCAAGCACTAGGTCCCAGGTTCAGTTCATGGCTGGAAAAGACTTTTGCCAAGGCCAAGGAGGATTGCTGCCAATCACAGTAAACAGGACTAAGCTAGACATACCATGGTCTGACTTACTGTAAGAGAATTTC